CTGTTTAACCCAACGGCAAAGCTGGAGAATGTTCACTATCTTCATTTTGTGAAGGACGATCACTTGATGAAACTAAACGACCAGCAAGAGGAGGAGCCAATAGATTTAGTAAGCGCAATGGACACCGAGACTCCTGCGCAACCAACTGTACCAAAAAACACAACAGATAACCAAACGGATGCGGCAGATGGTCCTCGTGATATGTCCATCCAGACGATTTAGGACCTTTGTTCAAGTCTTTTTCTTTTATTTGTATTAACTTTTCTCTCTTAGTTGTATGAACAAAGTATTTGTTAAGACAAATATCACATGGTCTGTTCCATGTGAATCCCAACTATTTGATTTTTGTGCTTAGATAACGAATGTCTTTATGATTTGTCTTCAATTCTTTGATGTGTCGTTGTGCAAATCATCTTATAATACTCATATCATAAGTTATGCATTGTGAATTTGAGCATCAAATTCTAGGTGCTCTAAACTTTAAAGTATATGAGTACCTTTCATGGCGCCGTAATTGGGCGCGATGTTTTGTACTTTGGTAGTGTTTGAAGGTGTGAACAACTAGGCTATAATTCATCTAATTTGCATACCCTATCGTGCAAGTTGCTTGAAATAATTTTGGATGCCCATGTCTCCTTTGCATACTAGAATGTCAACGAAGTTTTTCGATCTTTTTCTTCTTGTGTACTTCTTTATTCTTCCTCCTTCTGCGCAATTGAGGTTTTAACCAATTACAGTTTTACCCTCTTTTTTCTTCTTCTTACTTCTTTTTTCTTCTTTTTTCTTTCTTTTACTTCTTCTTTCTTCCTTTTTCTTCTTCTTTCTGTGCAATGGAGGTTTTAACCAGTTAAGGTTTTACCCTCCTTTTTCTGCATACTAGAAGTTTTAACCAGTTAAGGTGTTACCTTTCTTGTTCTTCTTCTTTATACGCAATGGAGATTTTAACCGGTTAAGGTTTTACCCTCCTTTTTCTTCATATTGGAAGTTTTAACCAGTTGAGGTTCTACCTTCCTTTTTCTTCATATTGAAAGTTTTAACCAGTTAAGGTTTTTACCTTCCTTTTCTTCTTCTTTTTGCGCAATGGAGGTTTTAACCAGTTAAGGTTTTACCCTATTTTTTCTTCATATTAGAAGTTTTAATCAGTTAAGGTTTTACCTTCCTTTTTTTCATATTGGAAGTTTTAACCAGTTAAGATTTTACCTTCTTTTTTCGCGCGCGATGACTTGTTGTGTGTGGATTCGTAAAACTGACATTGGAATAAACTTGTAAACTTTATTGCGTAATGACAATAATAATAACACATAGTACATATGGTGAATTTGAAAATACTTAGCTATAAAATAACTTAAGTTTGTCTGTGTTCCATGTTCGTGGAATCAAAAGTCCAGACAACGTTTCAATGATATATGCGGCTTTCTCGGTTTTTCCTTTAATATGATAAGGGCCTTCCCATTTAGCTGCTAATTTTCCTTGTCGCGCATTCTTGTTGTCAATATCTGCCCTCCGAAGGATTAAATCTCCAATGTTGAAGCTTCTCCTAACGACTTTCAAATTGTATCGTGCTGCAATTCTTTGTTTCAAAGCACCTTCTTTGATATGAGCAATTTCACGAATCTCGGTGATTGTGTCTAAGTTTTTTAATAATGCGTGAGAGTTACTATCTTCATTTACATACAACTTTATCCAAGATGGTTCACCTATCTCAACTGGAATCATTGCTTCACTTCCACATACCATTCAAAATGGCGTTTCACTGGTGGTTGAATGAGGAGCAGTCTGATAACCCTATAATACATAATCAATATGTTCTGGCCAATCTCTTTTTGTTGCCTCCAACCTTCTTTCAAGTCCTCATTTCAAAACTCTGTTTTCAGTTTCAACCAATCCATTGGTTTATAGGTGTTCAACAGAAGTATACCTATGTCTAATCTGCAACTCCTGAAGGATTCCATTGAACTTTTTGTCCACAAATGGTGTTCCGTTATCAATAATGATAGTATGAAGGACACCAAATCGATAGATTATCTTACGGTAAAAGAATCTTCGAATCTTATTAGCAGATATAGTTGCCAATGGCTCAGCTTCAATCCATTTAATAAAATATCAATTGTCACTATCAACCATTTAACTCCTCCTACCGCAACTGGGAATGGTCCCAATAAATCCATACCCCTTTGATAAAATGGCCATGGAGATAATAGTGAAGATAACTCCTCTGGGGGAGCGTGATGTAGATCCGCATGTTCTTAGCATTTTAAACAATAACTCACATGTTTCTTGGAATCTTCCTCCATTGTCGGCAAGAAATATCCTGCGCGAAGTAACTTTCGAGATAAGGATTTACCTCCCAAATGATGACCACTTACTCCTTCATGGACCTCTGCAATAACATATTGCGCTTGTTGTGGGTTTAAACATTTCAACATTGGGGAGGAAAATCCTTTCTTATATAGTTGATCGTTGATAATGGTATAAAACGAAGCATTCCTTACTAGCTTGTCAGCCAAACTCGAATCGGATGGGATCTCAGCTTTAGTTAGGTAATTCCATATTAGAGTCATCCAATCTATTGTGGTATCTGGATTTAGTTCTTCATCATCGATCATGTGATCCGCGTGATGAGATGGTCGAGCCTTTCGTTTAGCAATAACCATTACTACACTTGGATTAGGTACACTTTGCTGGATGACTGACCTATTATTCCCAGGGCCTTTTGTACTAGCAAGCTTTAATAAAATATCTGCCCTAGCATTTTTTTCTCGTGGAATATGTTCAATCTTAACATTTTCAAAATCAACAAACAATAAGTGTACCTTATCCAGATATTTAGCCTTCAGGACCTCATTTGCTTGGTAGGTTCCTTGAACTTGTGCCACTACCACTTGAGAATCACTTTTCACTATTACTCTAGTTGCTCGAAGGTCTTTTGTCATTGCTAATCTTGCTAAAACTATCTCATATTATGCTTGATTGCTGGAGGCCTTAAAACCAAATTGAATGGAGTGTTCGACAGTAATACCTTGAGGACTTTCAACAATAACTCCAGCGCCACTTCCTTTAAGATTAGAGGATTCATAAACAAAAATTGTCCGATCACCTTTTGATTTCACGATTTTGGAATGCATCATTTCAACAAGGAAGTCAGCTAACACTTGTGCTTTAATCGCTTGGCGTGGTTTATAAATAATGTCATCTTCTGATAATTCAATAGACCAAGTGATCATTCGTCCTGCAAGATCAGGTTTACGTAAGATCTGTCTGAGAGGTTGGTTAGTCCTTACTTTGATTGAATGTCCTATGAAATAATTACGCAACCTGCGAGATGTGTACAATGAGTGCAAATGTCACCTTCTCAATTTGTGGGCAGCGCAATTCCAGTCCTTGAAGGGCTTTACTGATGAAATAAATTAGTTGTTGACCATTGGCATTTTCGCATAGCAATACATCACTGATGGCCTCATCACTAACAGAAAGATAAAGCATTAATGGTTCATCAGGTTGCGGCTTTACCAAGACTGGAGGGTTAGCCAAGTGCTTCTTTATTTCGAAAAATCCTGCTTCGCATTCTGGAATCCAATCAAAAATAGTTTGTTTTCGCAATAGTTTAAACATTGATAAAGAATTTTGTGCTGAAGCAAACAAGAATCTAGTTGATAACTCTCCCATATGAAAGTTAATTTGTTATTTTTATGATGAATTTGTTGCATAAACTCCATATAAGTTAGCCATTTTGCATGATATTTGAGTTAATTATTGTATATTTATGATTAAGTGCTTTGAGATGACTAAGTATGGAAAATAAGACAATATCCCTTGATTTTGCGTAAGAAAAGATGACTTGTTGAATGTTTGTCTTCGCAGGGAAAATTGACGTAGGGATGCTGTTGCAGAGAAGCTGACGAAGTAATGATATAGCAAGCGCTACAGCATGACAGCGTGGACAAAAGGGACAACCTAACTTTTGAATTTCAAAAGTTAGTTATTCTTCAACAATACACCAGCAAGCAAAGGAAGTTTCTGGAGATTTAGTTCAGAAATCACAAAGGTCAAAAGACAAATTAAAAGATTGAATCTTATCCAATCCCCAAAGAACAAGGACAACAACCTTGATTCGGTCAACAACATTGGCACAAGAAAACCAAGAAGATAAAGAATCTTATCCAATTAAGTGCTAACAATTCCGAAAATCCCAAGGATCAAGGACGATTTCAAGGATGGAGTCTTATCCCAAAATCCCAAAGAACAATGACAACAAAACTCTTGTTCGGTCAACAACAATATTGGCACAAGATAATCAAGAAGATAAAGATCTTATCCAATCAAGTGTCAACAGCCCAAGAATTTAGGGATAAGATAAGGCTGCAGCAACCGGATTCAACAATCTCCACTCTTAACTCCTAAAGCCCAAAGCCCAACTATTTTTCCTATTTAAGAAGAGCTCCTCCACGAGAGAAAGAAAGTTTGAAACACAGTTAGAGAGGTTGAAGGTTTAGAAGGTCAGAAACAAGGAGGAGAGTTTTAAAGGGAGATAGTGAGGTTCTTGGAAGAGGAAGAGCAGCGCTGGAGAAGTGCTGAAGCAAGGCAGTGACGACGTCTTCCTACAGCAATTGTTTTCAACTTCTTTTCTGTTTTCCAATGAATTCTTTCTTTCTTTTCTCTGTTTTATTAAATTCCATTATGAGATAAAATTGCTCCATAGGTTAGGTGATAAAGTACCTATGCTGTAACATTGAGATGCATGCCTAAACTTTGTTTATGTTAATGTTTAATTAGTTATTCAACGAGTTTGCTTAAATCTTATTCATGTGTGCATGTCGAGAGATACATATGTGATATTGAGGAGGTTGGGGCTGAGAGGTTTCCAAATCCAGACCCTTGTTGAATTGTGTGGATTAATTAGGTTAATTTAACTTGATTAAGCTGTGGGTAGAGAGATCATTCACACCACATTGCCTAGAACTTGAACTTGAATAAATTTAGTGATTAGTTTGGCCATAAAGATGTGGGAATTAGTTGTTGGGTATATATGTTAGGTCGGCCAAAAACCCCAGCATACCTTAGTGTTCGGTTACTAGTTAAACATTGATATAGCATTGTTAAAGCATCGTTTCAGTATTGCTGTATCAGGAAAATTGATCCTGACCTATATCTCATCCATCATCTTAATACTTGTTATTTTAGTTTCTTATTATTAGTTGTCTTTTATTTTACAAAACCCACAATCATAATCAATCACTTTACTCACTTTCTTCACCTAAATAATCATTACTTGACACTTATCTCCGTGGGAACGATACTTGGACTCACACATCCCTTTATTACTTGTGACACGTGCACTTTCGTATTTGTGTGAAAGATTTAAAATTAATTACTAATTGCACAACAAGTTTTTGGCGCCGTTGCCGGGGATAAGTACAGAGTTATTTTTATTCCGGTAGAGAATTTTATTTCTCTTACATCCTTTACCTTTTCCCTTACTGTTTTCAAGGTGTTAATTGCAGCATATGAGCAGTTCTTCATCAAAGCAAGAAGAAGATTTTGATCCTGAGATTGAAAGAACATTTCGAGCAAGAAGGAGACAGCAAAGACGTATCAATCATACAGCAACACCTAACATGGACGCATGATTGGGAAACAGTGAAGAGGAAGGACCTGGACAAAACAATGGAGGTCCAAATCAGGCTGAGATTCCAATCAGAGCACATGCAATTCCTACACTTAACAATCTGCATTCTGGAATCGTTCAACCTGATGTAGTAGCAGAGAATTTTGAGCTGAAGCCAGAGATGTTTCACATGCTACAGACCATTGGTCAATTCAATGGACTGCCTAGTGAAGATCCTAACCTTCACCTCCAAAATTTTATTGATGTAGCAGACACCTTCAAAATAAGAGGAGTTACATCTGATGCGCTAAAGATGAAGCTGTTCCCATATTCCCTCACCAACAAAGCTAAAGCATGGTTGAATTCATTACAACCACAGTTAATCCGAAGTTGGGAAGAGTTGGCTGACAAGTTTTTATTGAAGTTCTTCCCTCCTATGAAGGCAGCACAATACAGGAATGATATATCAACCTTCAAGCAATTTCAAGACGAATCATTTTACGAAGCTTGGGAGAAATTCAAAGATCTGTTAAGGAAGTGTCCAAATCATGGCATTCCCGAATGGATTCAAATGGAGACATTCTATAATGGGCTCAATGGACCAACAAAAGGCATGGTTGATGCATCATCTGGAGGAGCCATATTAGAAAAAACATATACAGAAGCATATGCAATATTGGAGAGGATGGAAGTTAACAACTATCAATGGCCCGTAGAAAGATCAAGTTTAATACAAAAAAAAGATGCTGGAGTTTGGGAACTGGATGCTGTATCAGCACTGTCAGCACAGATTTCAGCTCTTAACAACTCTATCAAGACGATGAGTCTGTCTGCTGAAGCTAAACCAGTCAATGCCCTCACTGATGTTATATCATGTGTTTTCTGTAATAGTCCCCATATCTATGATAACTGTCCACAAAACCCTCAATCTGTTTGTTTTATAGGAAATTTCAACAGGAACAACAATCCATATTCAAATACTTATAATCCCGGATGGAGGAATCACCCGAATCTTTCCTATTCACAAGGACAGCATCATGGACAGCAGCAAGGACAACAACAATCGTCCTCAGACACAGCAGGAAGGTCGTATAAAGGTCCATATCCTCCCGGATTCACGTAGCAACAACATCAATCCAGACAGCACACTGATACATCAAATACGCTGGAAGGCATGCTGAAGGATTACATGACAAGGAGTGATGCTATAATTCATAATCAAGCTGCATCAATCAAGAATTTGGAGACTCAAGTAGGTCAATTGGCAGAAGCACTCAGAAGCAGACCTCAAGGAAATTTGCCAAGCAACACTGAAGTCCCAAAGAAAAATGGAGCAGAGCAAGTTAATGCTATATCACTACGGAGTGGTAAGGCCGTAGATGAACCAGAAGCCATAAAGAACTACCACGAGCAGAAACAGAAAGCATTGGACCAGGTTGAAGAAGGGAAAGTTGCCGAAGAGGTGGAAACTAATGATCAATCCAAAGAACCTAAATTTGCTGACACTGAGAGTATTGCTACATCAAAGCCACAGCAAGGTCAGACTGTCAGCAAGGCAACAAGGCCACCACCACCCTTTCCTCAAAGATTGTAGAAGAAAACTGATGACAAGCAGTACAAGAAATTCCTTGACGTCCTCAAACAGTTGCACATTAATGTACCCTTGGTTGAAGCTCTTGAGCAAATGCCAAGCTATGCAAAATTCATGAAGGACATCTTGGCAAAGAAGAGGAAGCTGGAGGAATATGAGACAGTAGCTCTCACCCAAGAAAGTAGTCAATACTACCTCAACAAATTACCACCAAAGCTAAAAGATCCAGGGAGTTTTACTATTCCTTGTACTATTGGTAACCAATACGTAGGCAATTCATTACTAGATCTAGGTTCCAGTATTAACCTTATGCCTTAGAATATTTTCAGGAAACTTGGAATAGGAGAAGCACGTCCAACTACTGTCACGTTGTTGATGGCTGATAGATCAATAACTCATCCAGAAGGAAAAATTGAAGATGTTTTGGTAAGAGTGGATAAGTTCATTTTTCCCGCTGACTTTATTGTTCTTGTCTTTGAAGCAGATAGGGAAGTGCCCATCATTTTGGGAAGAGCATTCTTAGCCACTGGACGAGCATTAATTGATGTTGAAAAGGGAGACTTAACCATGCGAGTAAATGATGAGCAAGTCACGTTCAACGTACTCAAAGCCATGAAGTATCATGAACAGGTGGAAGAATGTGCTAGCATAGACACCCTTGACGCAGTTCTGCTACAGCAACTTAAGCAGCAAACAGAAGCAGACCCATTGAATGCTGCTATAGCAGAGGAATGTGCAGAAGATGAAGAGGAAATACAAGAGTGCCTTGCATGGATGAATTTCCAACCAGTAAGGCCTTACAAAGAGAAACACTTTGAATCTCTTGGAGAAAGAGCGATAAGGACGCTCAAACCATCCATCGAAGAATCTCCGATCTTTGAGCTCAAACCACTACCCCAACATCTGAAATATGCATTCCTAGGAGATTAAAATACTTTACCTTTTATTATCTCATCTTTTCTCTCTGATGCAGAAGCTGAGCAGTTACTACTAATTCTAAAAGAGCACTCAGATGGAGCATCACAGACATAAAGGGAATCAGCCCTACATTCTGCACACACAAAATATTATTGCAGGAAGGCTACAGCAGTACTGTCCAGCCTCAAAGAAGGCTGAATCCTATGATGAAAGAAGTTGTCAAGAAAGAAGTGATTAAATGGCTTGATGCAGGGATAATATATCCCATCTCAGATAGCCAATGGATAAGTCCTGTGCAATGTGTACCAAAGAAAGGAGGGATCACGGTTGTGAAGAATGAGAAAAATGAGCTTATACGAACAAGAACCGTGACCGGATGGAGAATATGCCAGGACTATAGGAAGCTTAATGATGCCACAAGAAAAGACCACTTCCCCCTGCCATTCATTGACCAAATGTTGGACAGGCTAGCAGGGAAGGAGTTCTATTGCTTCCTAGATGGATATTCGGGCTACAACCATATTGCTGTAGCATGTGAGAAGATCAATACACAAATGGCATCCTTCTAAAGGAAAATGTTCCATATGGGCAAGTAAATGTGGTCTTGTCTTGATCTTCTGGTGCTACAGCAATATGGTTGTAGCCCGAATATCCATCTAGGAAGCAATAGAACTCCTTCCCTGCTAGCCTGTCCAACATTTGGTCAATGAATGGCAGGGGGAAGTGGTCTTTTCTTGTGGCATCATTAAGATTCCTATAGTCCTGGCATATTCTCCATCCGGTCACGGTTCTTGTTGGTATAAGCTCATTTTTCTCATTCTTCACAACCGTGATCCCTCCTTTCTTTGGTACACATTGCACAGAACTTATCCATTGGCTATCTGAGATGGGATATATTATCCCTGCATCAAGCCATTTAATCACTTTTTTCTTGACAACTTCTTTCATCATAGGATTCAGCCTTCTTTGAGGCTGGACAGTACTACTGTAGCCTTCCTGCAACAATATTTTGTGTGTGCAGAATGTAGGGCTGATTCCCTTTATGTCTGCAATGCTCCATCCGAGTTCTCTTTTGTGCTCTTTTAGAATTAGTAGTAATTGCTCAGCTTCTGCATCTGAGAGAAAAGATGAGATAATAACAGGTAAAGTATTTTCATCTCCTAAGAATGCATATTTCAGATGCTGGGGTAGTGGTTTGAGCTCAAGGATCGGAGATTCTTCGATGGATGGTTTGAGCGTCCGTATCGCTCTTTCTCCAAGAGATTCAAAGTGTTTCTCTTTGTAAGGCCTTACTGGTTGGGAATTCATCCATGCAAGGCACTCTTGTAATTCCTCTTCATCTTCTGCACATTCCTCTGCTATAGCAACATTCAATGGGTCTGCTTCTGTTTGCTGCTTAAGTTGTTGTAGCAGAACTGCGTCAAAGGTGTCTATGCTAACACATTCTTCCACCTGTTCAGGATACTTCATGGCTTTGAGTATGTTGAATGTGACTTGCTCATCATTTACTCGCATGGTCAAGTCTCCCTTTTCAACATCAATTAATGCTCGTCCGGTGGCTAAGAATGCTCTTCCCAAAATGATGGGCATTTCCCTATCTGCTTCAATGTCAAGAACAATAAAGTCAGCGGGAAAAATGAACTTATCCACTCTTACCAAAACATCTTCAATTTTTCCTTCTGGATGAGTTATTGATCTATCAGCCATCAACAACGTGACAGTAGTTGGACGTGCTTCTCCTATTCCAAGTTTCCTGAAAATACTCTTAGGCATAAGGTTAATACTGGAACCTAAATCTAGTAATGCATTGCCTACGTATTGGTTACCAATAGTACAAGGAATAGTAAAAATCCCTGGATCTTTTAGCTTTGGTGGTAATTTGTTGAGGTAGTATTGACTACTTTCTTGGGTGAGAACTACTGTCTCATATTCCTCCAGCTTCCTCTTCTTTGCCAAGATGTCCTTCATGAATTTTGCATAGCTTGGCATTTGCTCAAGAGCTTCAACCAAGGGTACATTAATGTGCAACTGTTTGAGGACGTCAAGGAATTTCTTGTACTGCTTATCATCAGTTTTCTTCTGCAATCTTTGAGGAAAGGGTGGTGGTGGCCTTGTTGCCTTGCTGACAGTCTGACCTTGCTGTGGCTTTGATGTAGCAATACTCTCAGTGTCAGCAACTTTAGGTTCTTTGGATTGATCATTAGTTTCCACCTCTTCGGCAACTTTCCCTTCTTCAACCTGGTCCAATGCTTTCTGTTTCTGCTCGTGATAGTTCTTTATGACTTCTGGTTCATCTACGGCCTTACCACTCCGCAGTGATATAGCATTAACTTGCTCTGCTCCATTTTTCTTTGGGACTTCAGTGTTGCTTGGCAAAGTTCCTTGAGGTCTGCTTCTGAGTGCTTCTGCCAATTGACCTACTTGAGTCTCTAAATTCTTGATTGATGCAGCTTGATTATGAATTATAGCATCACTCCTTGTCATGTAGTCCTTCAGCATGCCTTCCAGCGTATTTGATGTATCAGAGTGCTGTCTGGATTGATGATGTTGCTGCGTGAATCCGGGAGGATATGGACCTTTATACGACCTTCCTGCTGTGTCTGAGGACGATTGTTGTTGTCCTTGCTGCTGTCCATGATGCTGTCCTTGTGAATAGGAAAGATTCGGGTGATTCCTCCATCCAGGATTAAAGGTATTTGAATATGGATTGTTGTTCTTGTTGAAATTTCCTATAAAACAAACAGATTGAGGGTTTTGTGGACAGTTATCATAAATATGGGGACCATTACAGAAAACACATGATATAACATCAGTGAGGGCATTGACTGGTTTAGCTTCAGCAGACAGACTCATCGTCTTGATAGAGTTGTTAAGAGCTGAAATCTGTGCTGACAGTGCTGATACAACATCCAGTTCCCAAACTCCAGCAGCTTTTTTTGTATTAAACTTGATCTTTCTACGGGCCACTGATAGTTGTTGACTGCCATCCTCTCCAATATTGCATATGCTTATGTATATGTTTTTTCTAATAGGGCTCCTCCAGATGATGCATCAACCATGCCTTTTGTTGGTCCATTGAGCCTATTATAGAATGTCTCCACTTGAATCCATTCGGGAATGCCATGATTTGGGCACTTCCTCAACAGATCTTTGAATTTCTCCCAAGCTTCGTAAAATGATTCATCTTGAAATTGCTTGAAGGTTGATATTTCATTCCTGTATTGGGCTGCCTTCATAGGAGGGAAGAACTTCAATAAAAACTTGTCTGCCAACTCCTCCCAACTTCGGATTGACTGGGGTTGTAAAGAATTCAACCATGCTTTAGCTTTGTTGGTGAGGGAATATGGGAACAGCTTCATCTTTAGCGCATCAGATGTAACTCCTTTTATTTTGAAAGTGTCTGCTACATCAATAAAATTTTGGAGGTGAAGGTGAGGGTCTTCACTAGGCAGTCCATTGAATTGACCAATGGTCTGTAGCATGTGAAACATCACTGGCTTCAGCTCAAAATTCTCTGCTGCTACATCAGGCGATTCCAGAATGCAGATTGTTGAGAGTAGGAATTGCATGTGCTCTGATTGGAATCTCAGCCTGATTTAGACCTCCATTGTTTTGTCCAAGTCCTTCCTCTTCACCGTTTCCCAACCTTGCGTCCATGTTAGGTGTTGCTGTAGGATTGATACGTCTTTGCTGTCTCCTTCTTGCTCGAAACGTACTTTCAATCTCAGGATCAAAATCTGCTTCTTGCTCTGATGAAGAACTGCTCATATGCTGCAATTAACACCTTGAAAACAGTAAGGGGAAAGGTAAAGGATGTAAAAGAAATAAAATTCTCTACCGAAATAAAAATAACTTTGTACTTATCCCCGGCAACGGCGCCAAAAACTTGTTGTGCAATTTGTAATCAATTTTAAATCTTCCACACAAATATGCAAGTGCACATGTCACAAGTAATAAAGGGATGTGTGAGTCCAAGTATTGTTCCCACGGAGATAAGTGTCAAGTAATGATTATTTAGGTGAAGAAAGTGAGTAAAGTGATTGATTATGATTGTTGGTTTTGTAAAATAAAAGACAACTAATAATAAGAAACTAAAATAATAGGTATTAAGATGATGGATGAGATATAGGTCAGGATCAATTTCCCTGATACAGCAATACTGATCTGATGCTTTAACAATGCTATATCGATGTTTAACTAGTAACCAAACACTAATGTATGCTGGGGCTTTTGGCCAACCTAACATATATACCCAATAATTGATTCCCACATCTCTATGGCCAAACTAATCACTGAATTGTTAAGTTCAAGTTCTAGGTTATGTGGTGTGAATGATCTCTATACCCACAACTTAATTAAGTTAATTTAACTCGATTAATCCACACTATTCAACAAGGGTCTGGATTCGAAAACCTCTCGGCCCCAACCTCCTCAATATCACATATGTATCTCTCGACATGCACACATGAATAAGATTAAGCAAACTTGTTGAATAACTAATTAAACATTAACATAAACAAAGTTTAGGCATACATCTCAATGTTACAACATAGGTACTTTATCACCTAACCTATGGAGCAATTTAGCTCATAATGGAATTAAATAAAACAGAGAAAAGAAAGAAAGAATTCATTGGAAAACAGAAAAGAAGTTGAAAACAATTGCTGCAAGAAGACGTCGTCACTGCCTTGCTCCAGCACTGCTCCAGCGCTGCTCTTCTTATTCCAAGAACCTCACTATCTCCCTCTAAAACTCTCCTCCTTGCTTCTGACCTTCTGAACCTTTAACCTCTCTAACTGTGTTTTGAATTGTGTTTCTCTCATGGAGGAGCTCTTCTTAAATAGGAAAAATAGTTGGGCTTTGGGCTTTAGGAGTTAAGAGTGGAGATTGTTGAATCCGGTTGCTGCAGCCTTATCTTATCCCTAAATTCTTGGGCTGTTGGCACTTGATTGTATAAGATCTTAATCTTCTTGATTATCTTGTGCCAATATTGTTGTTGACCGAACAAGAGT